ACTGCTAGAGAGGAAGGGTTTGGGAGGCCATGTGAGAAAGGTGAGGGATGAAGAAGTATATATTAGTAGTTACACAACAGTCATGGAGATATAGAGTACAGCATAGAGAATATAGTCAATATTATTGTAATAATTGTGTGTAGTGCCAGATGAATGCTAGAGTAATCGAGGGATCACTTTATAAATTATATAAATTTCTTAACATTGAATCCAATAAAGAATAAAATATAAAAGAAGTCGAAATTTATATAGAACTCATACAACTCAACACCAGTTAACCAAACAATCCAAGCAATAAATGAGAAGAGGACCTGAATAGGCATCTCTCTAAAGGAGAAATACAGATGACCAATAGACATAAAAAATGCTCAAGGTCACTAATCGTCAGAGAAATGCAAATGAAAGCCTCAATCAGATATTACCTTATACCTAATAGAATTGATACCAATAAATCAGAAAACAAGAAGTATTTATGAGAATATGAAGAAAAAGGAACTCTCATATACTGTTAGTCAGATTGCAAATTGATGCAGCTACTATTAGAAACACCGTGGAGGATCCTCAAAAAATTAAAAATAAAACTACTTATTACCCAGCAACTCCACTTCTGGGTATTTATCCAAAGAAAACCAAAACGCTAATTCGTGAAGATCTATGCACCCCTATGTCCATGGCAGTGCTATTTACAATAGCCAAGATATGGAAGCAACCTAAATGCCCATCAGTAGAAGATTGGATAAAAAACTTATGGTACATTTTTACAATGGGATCTTACTCAGCAATAAATAAAATAAACTTTAACATTGTGACATTTTCTAACTAGAGATTGCTGTGCTGAGTGAAATAAGTAAGATAGAGAAACATAAGTACAATATTATTTCACTTATATGTGGAATCTAAGAAGCAAAAGAAATGAAAATATTAAATGAAAACAAACTCACAGATACAGAGGACAATGTCATGATTGCTAGAGGGGTGAGGTGTGGGGCACTGTGTGAATAAGGCTAAGGAATGAAGTACAAATTAGTAGTTACACAACAGTCAGGGGGATGTAGAGTATAGCATACGGAATATAGTCAATATTATTGTAACAGTTTTATGTAGTGTCACATGGGTGCTAGAGTAATCAGGGAATCACTTTATAAATTATATCATTGTCTACTGTATATCAGAAGCTAATATAAAATAAAATTTAAAAGTAAACAAAATCTATAATAACTCATACAACTCAACAATGATAAAATAAAACATCTAATTAACAAATGAACAGTAGACCTGAATAGACATCTCTGCAAAGAAGACCTACAGATAGCCAATAGACATGAAAATATGCTCAGGGTCACTAATTCTGAGATAAATGCAAATTAAAACCTCAATCTGATACCACCTCATGCTTGTGAGAATTGTTATTATCAATAAATCAGAAAAAAAGAAGTGGTTGAGAGAAAGTGAATAAAAGGGAATTCTGATGTACTATTGGTGAGACTGCAAACTGGTGCAGCTACTATGGGAAAAGTTTGGAGGTTCCTCAAAAAATTAAACATAAAACTACTTACAACCCGACAATTCCACTCTTGGATATTAATCGAAAAAAAATTTTGAGAAGCTCTATACACCCCTATGTCCAAGGCAGAGCTATTTGCGAAAGCTCTGCCTTAGACATAGGGGTGTATAGGGGTGTAAGTGCCTACCAGTAGACAACTGGATTAAGTCATGGTACATATACAGAATGAAATGTTACTCAGCCATAACAAATGAAATCCTACCAATTGTGACAATAGTTTAAACCTAGATTGTACTATGCTAAGTGCCATAAATTAAGAGAAAGCCAAATGTCACACGATTTCACTATTATGTGGAATTTGAAGACAAAACAAAGAAACAAACAAAATGGAAACTAACTCATAAATACAGAGACCAAACTGGTGATTGCCAGATGGGAGCGAGCATTGGGAGATTGGGTAAAAATGGAAATGGATTAAGAGGTCCTAGATGGCAGTTACAAAATAGTCATGGTATGTAAAAGTATGACATGAGAAATATAGTCAATAATACTGTAATAAGTAAGTATGGGGCCAGGTGGATACTAGATTTTTTGAGGGATCATTTCATACATTATATAAATGTCTAACTGCTATGCTGTATACCTAAAACTAACATAAAATAATGTTGAATGTCAACTCTAATAGAAAAATAAAAATTAAAAAATAAAGTAATTGTTGATTTAAAAAAAAAATATATTGGTGCCAGGGCTAAATCTCAAGCCACTCAACAAAAAGCTTAAGGCACACAGAAGCCATCCACCGTCTACTGTAGAACTTTGATAGTTTTTTTTTTTTTTTTTCAGAAAGACTACAGCACTGATGAATGCTGGCTGCCTACTGCTAAATGTTCCTCTAGGGGCATGTGAGTTGGATAAGTCAGGGTGGAGTGAGTGGTGTTCACCAGGCCAGTGCAGATTCAGATTTGGCCATGTCAAAGGAGGGCTTAACAATGGTACACTGGTAGCTATCCTTCCAACCTGTCTGAGTGTGGTGACCATGTGTTCAATCAGGGAAGTACTGAGAGAGCCCATCAGAGCAGTGAAGCCTCCCAGAGCACTCTACATTCCCCAAGAGCACTGTGGCATGGGATGTTGATGGAGAACTGCATCCTTCCCTAGGAGGCACCAGAGAAGTGGACGTGGCACCTAGCCAGGACATTTGGTGTGTTCTAAGGAAAGAATCAGGAGCTGGTAGCTAAACAATAATAGTGAGCTTTTCTGTGTATATTTTTTTTTTTTAGTTTCTGTGTTTAGTCTAAATAGATTTTTAATGAAATCACACAGCTCTTTACAAGAATAATCACATTTGCTTATTTTGAAAATGACACTTTTCACAGCTTCCTAAACCTCACATGTAATTGGTGATGCAAATAGAAAACTAATGAGCAACAGGACAGTGTTTAAGCAGAGTGTCTTGAAAACATTTATTATTTTTTTGTGTCTGACCTCTCTCTTGACTTGATTTAGACAGATACTAGGACAAAAATACTCACTTACTTATCTAACTCTCAGCTAAGACCAGGGTACTTGGCATTAAAAATGTTAGGTCCCAGACTAAATTTAGAATGAATCACTCAAAAGAGCCAGTAATGTGCACATCCACTAAGAAATTGGCATAAGAAAAATAAATAAGAATTTATTGCAACAATAAAAAATTCACCAAGTCCCCAGAGGAGCCCATCATGTGGTACTGGTATTGTAAAGGCCACACAATAGGGACAACTGTGGTGTCCTCGCACAAATTATTCTTAGGAGCCTGTTAAAATTTGCTTATGGTTATGGAATATTCAGACCTGACTGGCTACAATTTCTGGAGATTCTATAATCTTCTAACTATTTTTTTAATATAATAATTTCTGCTTAAATTATACTGATATTATTTCTGTTAAGGAATCCTTTACTTCAGCTAAATACCTTATCATATTCTAGTTCCCATTGTAATTCAGTTGAGAAGCCTTGCTGGAAAATGCTAGAAAATAGTTGGTCATTGATATTAAGCAGTAAATGTCTTTTTTTTTTCTTCAAAATTTCAAACTTAATTTATATAATATGAGGGACATCTTCTAAGAGCAAGAAAACCATCCTTTTCAAAATAGTGCTATATAATTATACTGTGTCTTTTGGTGAGAATAATCTCTATCATGTATTAGGACATAATCAAGTCTTACTCATCTGACATTTCAAAATCAAACTTTATTCAGTTACCGAAGAAATCTCTAAATGTTCATTTGGTTTTAGTTTTAAAACATCCAAATTCATATCATCTCATATAAAACGGAATCTATTATTTTGAAAAATAATAATCATTTTGAATTTTAATCCATCAGTAATCCATCAATGTCAGGAATTGGATAATTCAGGGCTTCTTACATGCTCATTATATATTTTTTTTTATTTCATGTGTCCACGGAGAATAAAGAACATAGCAGAATATTCTCCTGGACAATTACGACCCTCCATCCATAGTATATAAGTGTACAGATAACCTGAGAGTGATGGCAGGGTCTCTGTAGGCTAGGAACTGAGCAGGTTTACCTATTAAAGATGCTGGTGCTAAGAAGGTCACTCCAAGCCAACTCCCCAAAACTTTTTCTGTAGAATTATGAGAATAGTAACTAGAGAAGAAAATGATCACAACAGTAATTATGTTATAAAAGGGCAAGAGTAGCAACATGAAATATAAACTTAGTGTTTTGAGGGATAAATAGGGAACAGCTCAGATAAATTAATCCGCACTAATTAGTATGCAGTGTGCTTGAATCCTTTTATAAACTGACTCTCGTTCTTCCATAGCCCATTTTTTATTTTGCCAACCATAATGATTTATTCTGCAGGTTGAATAGCCATGTAAATAAATTACTTATTCAGGATTCACCCATATATTTCCAGGGCCCCTCTTATGAAAGACATTCACTTGTTGTATTTGTTTCATAGTGTAGTAAGGACTTCTAATTTCCTGCAGAGCCCTCTGCCTAATCTCTATATTTATCATCTCTACTGTAAATCAGGAAATTGAAGAACCAGTATGCATCAGTTAAGAGAAAACTATAATAGAAATAACACAAATGCATACTTTCAAATGAACCGAGCAGTGATATAATATTTAGTCATCTTTTATCTCATTTTAGCCATTTGTGTGCTATATGAAGTATAGTATAACTATTGTAGTGAATGATTACATAAAGTTTGGCAGTTTTCATTTTTATTTCTACATATTAGTAAAACCTTATCAGCCTCACGTTAAAGTAAAATTAAGCCTTTTTGTGCTCATTGAAATATTACCACAAATAAAAAAAAAGCAGTAGTGGGGAAAATACAATTATTTTGTCAAATCTCAACTACTTTAATACTCTAGATCATTTTCAGCCTCTGATCTCATCCTGGAAGTATATTTTTCCTAGTGACTATACAATGTTGTGGTGCCCTCCCTGTGAGGCTGCAGGACTAAAGCAACTGTTTACATTTTCACACAGTAGATTCTCTGAATCACTCTCATCAAGGCCCCCATCACCTCCTTGTTTCTCAGACTATAGATGACAGGGTTGAGCACTGGGGTCAGGATTGTGTAGAAGACAGCTAGTACCATGTCCTCTGTTGGAGATCGTAGGGATCTCGAGCGTAGGTAAGTGTAAGCAAAGGGTGCATAGAAAAAAGCCACCACAGTGAGGTGTGTACTGCAGGTCCAGTAGGCCTTCTTCCTCCCTGCCTCTGAGCGCATGCTGAGAACAGAAAGGAGAACGAGGCCATAAGAACACACAATAGCCATGAAAGGCAACACAAGAAAAAAGATGGTGCTTGCAAACACTGTACACTCATAGAGCCAAGTGTTCATGCAGGCCAGAATCACCATGGCTGGGACATCACAGAAGAAATGGTTGATGGCCCTGGATCGACAATAGGGAATATGGAGAATGTATGCAGTGTGAGCACAGGAGTTGATAGCGCCCATCATCCAAGATCCTGCTATCATCAGCACACACACTCTTTTACTCATCCGAGTGGGATAGTGGAGAGGAAAGCAAATGGCCACATAGCGGTCATAGGCCATGCATGTTAACAGCAGAGCTTCTGCACCCGCTAAAGTCAAGAAGAAGAAGCTCTGAACCCCACATCCAATGAATGAGATAGATTTGTTCCCCAGCAGGTAGTTGAAAGCCATTTTGGGGACAGTGGTAGAGACATAGTTCAGATCAATGAGGGAGAGCTGGCTCAAGAAGATGTACATGGGGGTGTGGAGGTGGGCATCCAGCACAATGAGGAGGACCATAGACAGGTTGCCAAGCAGAGCCATCAAGAACATGAGCACAATGAGAGAGAAGAAGAACAGCCCGATTTTTGATGGTGGGAGCAGCCCTAATAAGATGAAATCAGTTGATGTTTGGTTGTAATTCTCCATTCATTGGCTTTCCTGAAAGAGACAAAGGCACGAGTGCATTGTAAATAAAGAAATGTGAACTGTGTATTAGCTTTTTACTTATTGCTTTTAATGTAACTCTAAATATTTCAGTAAATATCCAGTTCCTTAGATAAATAATCAAAGTTTCTTATTTTGAAAAACAAAATGAATCCCATTCTGTTATCCAAAGTCATAAGGTCATGTGGTATGTATTTACATCCAAGTGTTTTTTAAGACTACATGAAATAATGAAAGGAAAATATCTCTACCAACTTGAATAGGATATGATTGTCTGCCCTTCATAAATTTATATCATAAATTGCAAATATTCTAATTAAACATAAGCATAATTCTTATTCCAAGAATAAGCACAAATGGATATCATTTTAAATGAATAAGTGTTTGGTCTATTGTACTAGTGAATTAAATGATACACAGAAGGTGACATTTTTTCCTATATTCAGGATTTTAGTTTTTGCTCATCATTTGAAACATAATTGTAACATTTTTTCCTCACATTGGGAAGCTAGATTAGCTCTTTGATATGAATGTGTTTAACATTGTTGAGTAAACCCTCCTGAAAGTCAGTTGTCAGTAAGTGGCATGAGCTAAGAAAAAAACCAGTGTTTATTTCCTAATACTATCAGGCACAAATTAATAGTTCAGATTATTGGATTCTTCTATTATCGTCATTTTTATCCTTCCATTTCAATTGCTCATTCTTTCGTGGAAGGGAGACCCTTCTCCAGATCTCCTGTAAGCCATGTGCACTGCAGCTGACATTATTCAGCGTCTCAAAATCATTAAATGTTAATTCTCTGAAGACTAAAAAATAAAGGAAGAAATGTCAGATGGAAGATTTTAACGCATTTTAGATGAAGGGATTTGAATGAAAAAATAGTTATTCAATTGATGGGGAAAAGGTTTGACATTCCAATAAACCTTGGGGATGGGAGGAAATTGTATTGCAAAGAAAAATCTACTGGTAGGAAAATGTTGACATCATGCTTCCAATCATCCCGGTATGCCCAAAACAAAAGGGTTCTTTCGTTTGCTCATCCCAGTCCTGGAAAAACTGGGATGAGCAAATTATCGTATGACTCATACAGAATTCTAAATCCATATATTCTGAGATTTTAGAAGAAGTCAAGAAAGAGGGGATTAAAATATACGTAGAACAAACAATCAAAAGGAAAAAAATGTAGACACAAATATTTTAAAATAAAACGTAACATCTTTAGAAATCTATATAATATTAATCCACCAAAATGAGTGTTCTCAAAAATTTAAAAGATTAGCCAATATAAATGATTCATTCAATATTTTGAAAAATAAATATCAAAAACTCTTGCAGGAAGTTTGATGTAAACAGGCTAGTAAAAAAGGAAATTATAATAATAATAAGGAAGAATATAAAAATTAAGAGATTGGTAATTAGAAAATTGATTAGGAGTACTTATGTATGATTAGGATATTTCTACAAATGTGAACAAAAAATATAGGGACTTAAATTATCATACTATTTCTAAGAATCGAACAGTCTGAGCCACAACTGACACAGCATTCACAGAATCCAGCAAACTAAATGAGAACCACTCTGATAACACATGATATACTAACTGAGAAAAAGCAAACATTTTTTTCTGAAAATGTTCTTTGGTTTTCTGTAGAAGACACAGCATATTAAGCTGCTATCAAGATATATTTACATTAGTCTGAATTATTTACCCTATTGCCAAGGCAGTGTTAGGAATAACTTTTACTATCGCTGCTTATCATTGGTTTTCTAAAAAAGGACTTTCCAGGGAAAGATTTAACAGGTATTATGATTAACATAGTATCACAGACATCCAAAGAAGGTGAAGGATGCAAGGAGGTCATGGAAATAGCAGGTGACTCATCAGACCTGGTACTGCATCCATGGAGTGTGCAATTTTTATTTATACCTTTTAGACTAAGGCTTCACTAAAATAAAAGGCTTCACTAAAATAAAGGGATCATTCATACCCATTAAGTGTATATTTTGAAGAGAAGAGAATTATTGAATGGACAGGGAAACCACTATTAGATTATTTTTTATGAGTTTTTTTTTTGGCCTCAAGCCACTTAAATAATAATAACTAACTTATTTAAAGTTCATTTAAAAGAAACTTTCACCTCCATTGATTACTTTTATTCACCTTAAAAATGTTGACACTTATGCATTAGAATTTTTTACAACAACAGGAGAAAACAGATAACAGCTATCTAATGTTATACACTGGGTAAGATAAAGGGCACACCATGCTCCTGGGCAATTTGTAAGTGTAAGGGAAGATTCAGACATGAATCTATTGCTGCTGGCATCCTGACAAGTGTCAGGAATTATGCCAACTTGACAGCAAGCTTCTGAGTTTGGTATTACCGTCCATATTTGTAAAAGAATTGACTGATATTCAGAGAATTTAAGTGACTTTCCTTATATCACAAGCTAAAAACATATCCTTATCCCTTTCCATATGAGAAGTGGTGAATCAGAAATGTGAGGTTCATGTTTTAGCCACCCAAAACTATTTACACATGAATTCTCTATTCACACTAGGAAGTAGATAACAGAAAATGTATTTAATAAGTTATTCTATTCCCCAATAAAAATGTTTTAGAGTTTAAAGCTTTCATATTTCACATCTCCCTAGAGACATACTTCCTCAGTTATTCTGCTCTTGCTGTGTTTTCACTGGTGTGCTGTAGCAACCCAAGAGTTCACACCAGCTTCTAGTAAGTGGATAATACATGCTTCGCAGTATCACTTATATATATATAATACCTCAGGGACTCTAACTGAAGTTGAACCATATGTTGATTTTAAACAAAAAGTGTCCCTATCTAGGAATTTATGATTACCAAAGACCACCCGCCCTGGCTCTGTAACTCGGGCTGCAGACGCCCACATTCTATCCTCAGGTGGTTTCCTAAGTTTGAAAGTGACACATATCACTTTTCTGTAACTACTTTCTTTGCATAGCTCCATTTTTCTTATACCTTTCCTTGAAAGAGTGGAAGTATTGTATTGAGAAAAACATCTCAGTTATAAGTTTATGTGTTTATTGTTGGTACAGATATTCAAAATGTGCCTGCATTGTTACACAGATTTGTTAAAAAAAACACAAACACAGTCTATGGCCACACCACCCTGAATAAGCCTGATCTTATCTGATCTCGAAAGCTAAGCAAGGGTGGGCTTGGTTAGTACTTGGATGGGAGACCACCTAGGAAGACCAGGTGTAAAAAATAAAAAATAAGGGATTGTAAACTGACAAGGTCCTTGCAATATGTGAAGTCGACCAAGGGTTGCCTCTCCTAAAAAAAAAAAAAAAAAAAAAGCACAAACACAAAAATTTGCATTCATTTTTCAAAACTACACAGCAACCCCATGTATAGCTGTTCGAGAATTCCTGTTTTCTGATTCTCTATGTAGAATTGTGTCCTGAATAAAAATCAATTTCAAAATTTGGCTTCCTTTCTTTTATGTATGACTTTGCAGAACAGCAGTAATCCTTACCAGAAATTCGTCTGCTACTGTGTCTTAGTAGGACTGTGACATTGATCTGTTGAATTTTATTCTCTAAGCTTTCCTGTTGCTTGCAAATGAACAGGTACAAAATTATTAAATGAGAAACTACATGGTGAGTGCTAAGTCCATCTGATATATAAATTATCAGTTAAGCAAGTGGTTCTTAACTGAGGGGTGAATCGGCCCTCTCTCCAGGGTACTTTGGGCAATGTCTGGAGATGTGTTCGGCTGTCACTATGCCATACAGTGGGTGCTGCTAAACATTACATAATGCACAGGACAATCAGAGACAAAGAACTATCAGGCCCAAAGTTCAGTTTTGTTTAAAAAAACTCTAAATTAATATAGCTTTGATCTTATTAGTTTTTATCTTTGTCTTTATCACTTGCACATTGTCTTCTACTAAGACTATGCAATGATAAAGTGTTATTATTTTTTTTATGCTCCTATTTGAGTCACAAGAGCAGTCCCAGGTTGCCTGCGTTGCCATCATGCATCCATTTTCTGGGTGTTCAGTGAGTGCACAAGGCCAATAGCAGGGGGATAGTCAGTATTGAGCTAAGGCCCCGGGCACCCTGTGACCACCGGCCCTGACTGGCACAACTGCGCTCAGGAAACCACACCCTCCAGGGTTTTTACTGAAGATGGCTCCAGGTGTGACCTTGACCTTCTAGGTCAGCTGTGCAGCCAGTTGATTCAGTTCCCACCTGCAAGAGCACTGCATAAGCTCAAAACATTTTAATAACTCTCAGTCTAACCCTCAATTCATTTCTATTCCAATTTAGACATCTTGTCTGTGAATTAGCTTGGAAAACAAACTAAACAAAAAACAAACTGTTGTCTGTGCTGGTCCTCTAGGCACTCTGCCCCACACGGTATAAAAAGCAGCCATCCTGCCACCCACCTCTAATCTAATTCTGAGCTCTACTTGCCTGTGAATTGAAATCTGGAATGCAGCGACATGCCTTCCAGATATGCAAGCACACCAACAAAAGGATGATTTAAAGTGTAATTAAAATGTGTATTCTTATATAAGGTGGCTGGCTACATGTGGACACCTCCACTACTTAGAGTAAAAAGTCCGAATTAAAGCATTACATCCACATTCTCTCATTTGCTGCCAACTCCCACTCTATGTCAGAGGTTCTGTAGCGGGCTCTAGCTTCATCATACTACTCACAAAACATAAGCATGAATATTTTTCAGTAATTAAAAGTATAACATATAGTATATATAGAAACTTGAAAATTATTACTAAATAAAGTAGTAAGATAGCATGATCAATATGATCGCAACATTATTATTAGAAGCCTATTTAAAAAATTGTAAAAAAAAAAAAACCCTTTCCCTTGGTCTTGGAGACCTCTCTCCTTCATTGTCTTATGTACTAAATCTGTCTTACACTTTAAGTCTCCTGTTAATCACACCCTATTATATATGGTCCTTT